TGTTAGCATCGATCTATACCAGGCAAGGTCATAGAATGATATGCGATACATTGCCCAAGCAGTTGAGGGTAACCCCGAGCAATGCGACAACATATCAAAAAGGGAACGGGTAGATAGAAGGAAAGGACAAGACATACTGAACACCACCAGGGTGCAGAGCAGTGCGATTCACCGAAGCAGCAACCATGTTTCTTAGTGAGGTAGAATGATAGTTATTATTTCTTTGTTTTGCGAGTTGCTGTTGGAAGAAATCTGAAGCAAGAGGACCAGGTTCGGCGGGGGAAACGGGGGGTATATGAATGTTTGTCGCAGGACTCATGATGGGAGATCCAATACGCCTGAATGTGTGGAATCGCAGCTGGAAATGTTTACTCCACCGTTCCACGGAAGATGTCGGGGCAGCAGACCGCGTCTCGACGGCGATGGTTATCGTGAAGAGTGGAAAAGGAAGACAAATGCCTCGAATCGAAGCCCGAAAAGTTCCGAACCCCAGATGTGGGCACGAGGTGGTCCCGGAAGGGATGGCGGATGCACCAACTAGAGTTGAGCAAATAACACAAGCTTCGGAAACAGGATCAGAGATTTGAGGCGGTATCACGGATAGCGCGTCAGGGGATGATGAATTAATGTCTCATCAACGGCACTAGTGGGAGTTGGTACGCAGGTTTGGAGTGGTTTGGAGTACAGGGATAGACGCTTAAGCTGCTAGTGATGCAGAGTGGGAATTCGTGGCCCCGGCGCTACGGGAACGAGGTATTTATTATTATGTGATGGTCTTGGAGCCTGCCGCGCGCAGCCACCACCGGATCATCGAGTGAGTGAATGCTGCAAAGAGTTCATTCAATTACAATTTCCTCAGTTCCAAGGACAAAAGGACCGTCTACTCTTTCTAGCTGGCGGAACAAATAACAATGGACGTAGGGAAACGGGTAGATGGAACGAGTTGGAGTGGTGACGTTGAATGAGCTCAATGCAAGAAGACGGAGTCTAGAGGCGATAACTAAAAACTCCCATAAGCTAGACTAGGGAAATTGCGGGGGGAAAGCAGTTTTCTTCCTTTTTTTCTTTTTCGGCTAGGAGGGCTGGACTATACCCGACCAGGCGACTCGTGTGTAATGCATTGCCAGGACTGGCTGAGAAATGACCCATAATGGAGACAGAGTTAGGACTGCATTCAAGTCTGGGCCCGACCAGAAAAGCAGAAGCAGCAATTGCGAATGGAATCTTTCCGAGTGACGAAATGCCGGGGGAGAATCTCGGGTTCCCCTCGTCCGCACTTTCCCGCTTCCGGTATCATCTTAGTCATCCCCTTCCCGAAACGTTCCTGTCAGCCACCAATCAGCATCGGCATGTGCGACCGATGGACAATCCAACGTCACTCTCATGGGCAGAAGATATTGCCGTCTTTTCGGGCTCGAGCATTATTTTCGGGTGAGCTGTAAATTGAGGCAAATGAGAGCTATCAGCTGGATCCGAGTCACATTTCTGGGATTCCATGTCATACCGATGCGGGCTTTTGCCATCGTCAACCCGCTACGTGGACCCTTGAAGGATGCCCGCCCGTCTCCTTACTGCAGTAATATCCCTCATACATGAGTCTCAGTTCTTATCTACAGACGGTAGGTTTCAAATATGAGATGCATGGGCATCTAAAATTCTCTTCTATTTTGCTCAGTAGATAAGAAAAGGGGGCTACCTCCTTTGTAGCCACCACGATAATTGCACATGATAGATCAACTTGGCCCCTTTCCGAATTCCCAAGAATATCCGAGTTGCCGCCCCCGGCTTTGGTCAGGTGCCTGGAAGAACCCCCATTTTTGCCTCCCACGCGGACAATCAAAGGAATGGCGTATGACGAATTAGCCAAGAGCACCTAGCCCGGGATGTTATCACGGTAGATAGATGCGACGGAGAAATAGTGCCCTGGCATTGGAATCAGCCAAGATGTCATTGCGGTGTCTTTTCCCTATCGAGCCACAGCAGCAATCTGTACCCCGCATCCGAGGAGTGCCGGGGCCACGCGGGCCTTTCCCCGGATGTTCTCGTCCCCTGGGGGTTGTCCGATTCCGGCTAGAGCGTAGTTAAACGCTTTTCCGGTTTGTGGATTGGTAGTCTGATGGTTGGAGAGGGGGTTGTTCGAACTATTGATGGTGATGGACAGTCTATACGAGTGTTTCTGAAAATTGTAGCCTCCCCATTGCAAAAGAGTCACCTGTCCTACTCTGTGCTTATGTGTTACCTATCATTGGGTTTTCGTGTCGGATACGAACTGCAGTTCGGCTCCTCTAACGGGTTGTTAGCTTCCGTGCTAATTCGATACATCTGCCTTCACCGACTTCTTTGCCACCACTTCATACATTGAGACCCTGCAATGCATTTCTCTGCAGTTTTTGTGTTATTTTGGAGTAGATGCTGTCAAGCTAGAAGATAACTCAGGCCGCAATACTTGTGTTTAGCCAGTAGCTTGGGTATTAAGTTCATCTGTATCAGTGCCACATTATATATTTTCTCCTCCGTACTAGGCACCCTTGGTCGTAGATGCGACAATAGTTTAACTACATACAGTAGGGTACTGTCTAGTATTGCAGGCAGCAGAAACATGATCCAGTCAAGTCTTCTAATGGCGAAAACAGAAATTACATTTACAGCATGAAGTACAATGATCGAAAACTAGCTCAAATAGTACGGTGGAGGAAGCGCAACCTGGCGAATTGAAATAGTCTTCTCCAAATCCCCCTGTGCACATGACACAATTCCATATTCGACATAGTGATATATATGGAAACAATCGTCCTGCTGAAGGATCCAGCTCAATTTAGCAAGAACTCCAGACCGAGCTAGTCTGCGAAGTAGCTCCAATCGCTCATCTAGACCGGCCACCATGATTTTGTCTCTTCCTGATCAAGACGTCTGCCTATATTATGTGCGCGTGATGTTTTTTTTTTTTTTTCTCGATCGCCGTCCATTTTATCTTGCTTCGGGCTTTTTATACCAGTTCAGGCTAGTGTGGACACCTGCAGACAGCACTGACAGGTAGCTCCTGTGTGCATGCTGCATAGCAAACGATACCCCAGAAGCTTTGCTGTCCCTTCGCGAAATACTGTCAATCTGCAGGAGCAAGTTGCGTCCGTTAGATACGTTGGACTGTTCAACATACTGTCTGCGGTGTCTCTCGTCGTGGTTTCCACCACACACTCTTATCTCCCAAGGATACCTTTGATGAAATCACTTGAGCTGAGTCAGTCAAATGAGGAACTCTCACTTATTTGCGTATAGCAGATAGTCACGCAGGCTTCTCTGATGACCGTCAGCATGACTGAGACCACACATTCGACCTGCATATAACCTTTAACGTCTATCTCACCTGGCTAACGGCTCATATAGTGTATCTTAGACATCTACCGTTCATCGCAAGGTAAGCAGTACTACATCCTGTCCGGCTTCCGTTCAGCAACTGACAATATAGGCACATATCATTCTCCGATGCCAGCTAGTTAGACGTATGATGGCTATTTCGTTCGGAATTGCTTCTGTTTAAATCAAAAGCAATACCTCAATTAATTCCCAACAGACGGTGCAGGATCTCAGTTTTAGAAGTTGGAGAAAGCCACTGAACGCCCACCGTATCAGGACCATCCCGAAAGCTTCGCACCAGACATAACAGCCCACAGCTCGCAGGCCTTGGAACTAAACCTCTCTTATCCTCTAAGGTATAACCCATCTCGAACCGTCTCTATCATGATGGAGCTATCCGTCCTCGACCTTTTGATAACGCCACCATCGCCCTGGTACTGTGCCAAGCAGCCGAGCACAGAAAGTTGACCCCGAGCGAGACTGATGCCATGGTCACCTGTGACGGCAACACGGGCACTCTCAGTTGACTCCAGAAGATGGACTTCCACGACAATGGGTAGACTTTCACGTCTCCTGGTAACAAGATCCTTACTTTCTTTTATCCCAAGCAACAATTCCAGACCTCCAGAGGACCTACGCCCCTTTGTAATGTCTATCCTCCTGATTTGACCCGATTTAACGCACTATGCTGAAATAAAGGAACGTTCTCGACATGGGAATGTCTGGAGCTGTTATATGGATCGGAGAAAGAGACCGAGGGATAAATCTGACACTATGGGCGGTGGATTCATTTATGGTCAACATATTTTCTGTTCTACAGCAGGCAATAACCCCAACTCGACAGTAAATCACCGTGGTTTCTACTACCAGTCCATTACGACTGTGTACACACTTCAAGGCAACCAAAGAGTGTGTACAGCATATCACACACAACCTTTTGACTATTGAACCAGGCAACATTCGTCGATCACCCACCACCCCACTCACATGCACAATACCCCCCAAGAAAATCATCAACAACCTCACCACTACACATCATGATCACGATACACTACCCAATCCCTCCCCTTTAAACATTAAATACCATGAATCCCTCCAACCAAACTCATCTACTTTATCACCCACAAAAGCAATTCTTCACAAACAAAAACAAAAATAATCATCTGCGCCGTGCACACACTCGCTTCTTGTCTTATCAAACAACCCCAGTAGCCAATCACATACCGCCGATCCCGCATCAGGCGGGGCAAGTACTAAGTAAGAAGCGGGAATATCACGCGCGCGCCGCGGCGGGGTTTCGCCAGCACAGCAGAAATGCGTGAATCATCGCTGAGGGATTAGTCAAGAAACTATTTATTTATTTGTAGCTTCCCCTGTCTTTGGTTTCTTCTCTTGCTTACTTTCTACGTACATTATCGACTCTGCTACTTAGCTTCAGACGCTTTCAGGTGAGTAGACGGAAGAGAGAGACTCCGTTATTTTCTGGTGATGATAAGCAGGATATTTATTGACTGACTAATGACTCATAGTTGACTTCATTTCATTTCTCTCCACGAGATAAATACTACCATATATCCAATCTATCAAAATGGCCGGTGCTCACCAAGCTTGCCCCTCCTGCGGCGCTGCCATCCCTGGCGAGACTAAGACTTGTGGATCTTGCGGAAAGGTACGTGGATCTCTTCTTCCTGCAGTGTCTGCGTGTTTAAGGTGGCTATTAGCTAATTACTTTATTGTATGATAGACCTGCCCTGTTTAAACTACCTTCGGTTCGATCTGGAGATGATATAAGGCGTTCATGGGGTTGTGGGTGTGGGGATGCGATAAGTAGTAGGCGAAGGGACGGGGTGTGGCTGTATAACGTGTTGACGAGTGACGACGACGACGACGATGAATATAAGATGAGATAAGATGAAATGAACGAACGAATAAATAAGAGATGATTGCTTCGTTCTTCGTAGAGATACAAATCACACCAGATCTCTCATATCCACGGTTCTAATCGACCGACTGGACTGTGTTGAAAGGCGCTCTATGCTTCGATCGGGACTGTCTTCTCTCGACCGAAGCATAGTTTCCGTGTCTTCTTTGTACTCCTGTTCCTGGTCGCTTTCGCTCTCTGATGGTCGTGAGAATCGGTTGTTGAGGACCATCGAGTGGCGCTGGGGATTCATTGTGCTGTTGTTAGGGAGAGGTTCGTTCTCCGAGAGAAGGACGACGGTGACTGGGTGATCGCAGATACGGGGTACTTTGAAGATGCTGTAGAGGGCGTTGAGAGCTGGTACTGACAGGCCGTGGACTACGATGGAGAATAGGACTAGCCAGTAGACGACTGTATGTCCATCTGTTAGAGAATATCTCTGCAGTTTCTGAGTGCAATGCATGCATACCTGGTACCATCGCGGCTGTCATGCTGTTGATTTCCTCGTCGCTTTGTCCTGGGGGAGGAAATAGTCGACGAGTGTACTCGACGTATGAGACCGCGCCGATTCCTATATTTATGTCTTAGCATGAGAGACTCAGAGAAAGGTATGCAACCTTACCAATTGGCCCAAAGTGCCCCAGGAACAGTGCCTCTCTCCAGTCGCTGCAGACCTTGGGCATGAAGCGATATCCCACCAGAATAGCTGGGATGCGACGAAACACCAGGATCAGGAATCCCAATGCAAAGAGCCGCCAGAGAGTTATCCCCGTATCATGGGGACGTTGGAAATATTCCCATGGCATGGTCGCCCCAAGGAACATGAACGCTGCGAAATTCAGCAAGGTTTCCATCGTCGAATTGAACGAGTCATGTCGAGCTTGGATCTCTTCGTGATAAAGACCATTCCAGTTCAAGACACACCCAGCAATGAAGCAGGCGAGTGTCTCGTCGGAGCCGAAACAACCACACGTGCCAACAAGGAGCAATCCAATTGCTGCTGGGACAAGTGTGAAGCTTTCATGATCAATCCACCTGTGCTTGACCGCTTTCTTCAGCAGCTTCTGGGACACGAACCCTACGAATGCACCGTAAGCTGCACCTAATAGGATCATGTATAGAACTCCTTCAATAGCCCAATGTTTGAGCGCCACGCCTGCGCCGCCGCCGAAACGTCCAACTCCAGTTGTCCCGAGTACATCTGGGACTCCTCGTTCCAGGTCAAACTCTTCCAAGCTGAGGGTGTTGGCTGGGGCTTCGGCGTATCGCAAGAACGAGACTCCGAGTAACAAGAGTGGAAACCCAAAGCCGTCATTGCCACCTGCTTCGGCGGAGATGAACTCTCGCAGTGGTCGGCGGACGAAGTTGTCAGCAAAAGGGCCTTTCGCAATTGCCTGAGACAGGACTGGATCGGTGCAGGTTACGCAAGCGCTGATAATGAGTGCTGAGAGCTTTCGTCGGGCGATTAGTCGCTTCAGGGCTAGCACAGTAGAGGCAAGGGTAGACATACAAAGGAGATGTGCGGGATCACAAGCTTTACGCACGCAGAAGTTGCGAGCCATGAGATGGTCATTAATGGTAATAGGCAGATGGTCATCTCCACCATGCGTTGCCTCAGGTATTTCTTGGGTAGTTCATATCCCACTTTGACTAACTGAACACCAATGACGAGACGGGTCAAGCCCTGAAAGGTCAGCACTATCTCTTCCAGTGTTTAACCGGTGGTCTTACATAGGCTATCTCGCTGGTCTCGTTGGCACTATCACCTCCCCATTGAGAAACATTCAGTAACTTTGCACCAGCTGGCCCAAAGCAGATGCCAACCACGAAGGCAGGCACTAGGAGGATTAGTATCGCGTCCCTTAATGTAGGATGTAGAATCATACGAGCTTCACCAAGGTACCATCTTTGTTTGACCTTCAGGGAGACGAAGCCAAATAGGAGAATGTAAAGGCCTCGGTAGGGTATTAGCTCCCCACTTGTACCATATGAATATGAGTCGCTTCTCCTCACCTGTAACGGAAAGAACAAGATTGAAGTTGCTAACGTCAAGAAACGGATGCAACATCCCTGCTAACGCCAAACAGCTGTTGACTGGGTCCGGCTGGGGCAAACAAGCCTCACTCCCAAGTCGAGTTAAAGAAATCGCGCATGGGTCCTAACAAAGATAGATACTGAGAACCATCAATCTTTCAAAGTCAAAGTGTGGGAGACTGGCGTAAATGGATTATTTGTGCCGGTCAAAGATACCATTCAAATTCTGCCCTGGCTAGGGTAGAAAGTCGGGGGAGGCCGCCTGTTCATACAGCACGGCCAGACCATCAACGAACTCCTAGTCACCCCTTACCACACTGTACAAGAGCCTGGTGCTGTCACACCCTTCCGCCAGGATGCATACATAGTGGGTCCTGATACGCCTCCCTTGCAGGAGGAATTGCAGCTTCGAAGCTTGGCTGCGAGGCGTAGATAGGAATGAACTAGGAATGAAGAGGCCAGGCCGCATCCCGATGGGCGGAAGATAGATTTGCATGCCAGTCTGAGGTTAAGCTTTCGATTCGTACGTAACTCTAGGAATGTGATAGACCGTGGGCAATGTAGCGTGTCATCATATAGTCTATTAGCAAAGAAGGCTTATCAGTAAAGGGATGGAAGGAAGCAAGATGTTGATAACAATAAGATTGTGGCAAGACAAAAATAGCACACCAAGTCGGTTGATGATACAGGTGGCTCTGGCTTGGTCTGCCAAATGGTACTGTGGTACTGCAGCCCAGTATGCAAGACAGCTCGGTCAAAGAAGATATAAGGAGAAAAAGAGGGCAATTGTTGGTCAGGCAATGTTCAATTCGGGACATATGACTGGTTCAGGAATTTCAGGCTCAATGGCCATAATCACCCGCTGGCGTTGAGACAAAGGCCAGATTATGCACTGTGGTGGAGAAGGAATTTTGATTCAGAAACCGGCTGCTCTTGCTGCGAGTAGCCGCCAGCCTGAGTGCCTGAATGCAAGGGCTGCAAGGGGCCTCTTGCGAAACACGGCCAGTTGACATATCCGATAGTGGCTCGGACCTGCAAACGTAGCATGGAAGCGATGCATCAACTTCAGCTGGAAAATGGGAATAGATAGAGAGCCGAAAAAGAAATGGTATAGCCGGAGAGTAGCAGGTGCAACAGAGGACAAATGATATTCGGCTAAAGCAAACAAAGGGAATAAGCTCTAAGTTACATGAATCCGTTGAATAAATGGCTGGGACCCGCCTCGCACATGAAACGCTCAGTTAGTCCAACCCGTCAGTATTTGTCTCTCGCTGTGTCTGAGCACGCCGATATTCACTGGCGCGTCAAGTTCTAGTATCAACAACCGTGCAAACGGCGTTTGATGATGGCCAGAAAGAACTATCTATAAGGCCTTGTTGATATCGATCTCCACGATGCAGTCCAGGCAGCGACCGCTTACGCAGTCTTCCGCCACTGGGACCAAATTCCGATCAAACTGCTGACCGTTCCTGCAAGACCCACAATGCCGTCATCGAGAGATGCCAGTCCAAGGGCGGACACTGGCACGCTCAGGTCGCAAAGATCGGAAATGAGTTGAATGCGTGCGGCAGAGCGCTCCCTGAAAGATGTTAGTACGCTAATTCAGCGTGAGTGGAAATACACAACATACTTCTCAAGCTTCTTAGCTTCCACAACACCTTCGCCTTCCTTGCGGTCGAGGGTCTTCTCCTTCTCCCGCAATCTGAACAAAGTGTATACACCCGCGACAGCACTGCAGACCAAGCCCGCCATCCATGAGCGGTAAGCGTGCTCCTGCAGTCGCTTGGCCGAAGCGAGCTTACGAACACCGATCGTATCGATAACGGTGATTGTGTCGAGAGAGAGGTAGCCCGCGTAGCCGAGCTGACGGCCGACGGCGAGATAACGGAGTACAGGGTCAACAGGGTTCTTGTTGTCGGAGGCCAGTGCAGCTGCCTTCAGATGCTCAACAAACTTGCCGATCCGCAGAATCTTCCGAGTTGTTCCGAACTGCTTCTTGACGGCGTTGAAGGGCTCGATGGCGGACTGGGGGCGGTTGGTGCGGTAGAGGTACCAAGCATAGAAGCGGGAGAAGTATTGCAAGGTTCGGAGGATCTTATCGCGACCGACTGTGGAAAGGTTAGTGACATTCTGCAATACGATCAATTTATCCTCCAAAAGCACGAGAGGCAGGTCCCCTGCATTGAGGCACCTTGCTCTCTCCCGGCCGAGAAACCAGCAGCGCAGGACAGTTAGAACGTCGGCACGTACCCGTCGTTGCGACAAAGCGCAAGTAATGCGCCAAGGCAGGGTGGTAAACCAAAGCGTCTGCGACCATATTGATGATGGCAGGTGTATGTGTTGGGTTGATGGAAAGGGTTCGAGAAGGCGTCGGTGACTTATTGAAAGGGTAGAAAAAGGCGGGAGTCGAATTCCGCGCGGTGTCGGGACGGCGTGGGGACCGTAAAGGAAGGCGAAGCTCTGGCTGGCTGGTGGACGGAGAGGAGAGGTTCTAGGTGTGATACAGACGGGAGATAAAAAGGATACTCCGCACCAAGGATGGAAGGAAGAAAAGATGGGGGAGGGGCGGAGAAAAGGATATTAGTAGTAGTAGGGGTCGAGGGCTGGCTGCTGGATGATAGGATCGGTAAATGAGCGGCCGGCGATCGCCCGTCTGTTGGAGGTGAAAGACTTCGGAAGTTGGAACCTCGGCTGGTCGGACCATCCAAGCTGTCAATCACAAGATCCTCCCTAATCCACTCTCCCCGCCATGCGAACTACGGGTCCAGCTCGTCTTCAACATTCACTTTTTTGCTTGCTTATTTTCTTTCCTCCGACAAAAGAATATAAAGCATAATAATAGTATTTCTATACATTACATCACTGACACATAGTCATCGAGTCATTAACCATACTCTCTTAACTTAAGACCCCGAGCATCCTTTCCAGGGGCTCCGAACGGGTGGAATGTTGTTACCAAAATTGCGCTTCTGGGCGTGTTCTCTTCCGGGGTCGCTTGGGCATCTTCACACCAACCTCGATTGTCGGTCATCGCGCATTCGCTGCTTGGGCTTTCTTGGAGGATGTTGCATGGGCCGTTCGTCTGATGGAATGTCGCTTGGGGTACGGGAAGGTTGGCGCTTGTTAGGCTGGGACGTTGACCGGGTAAGCAGTTCAGATGCGTTGTTTTAGCAGGTCCGTAAGGCGCGCGGGTTGCAGGAGGAAATTGACTACCGCTCCTCTTGGTTGCCCATGGCAGAAGTGTCGTAACCATGAGCCTCTAGATAGGCCCGGAATTTGGCATCCTCATATGTGATGGTGTCCTGTAGGGCCGATTAGCCTACTCTCGCCTGGACGGAACCAGAAAATATGACATACCTGTCCGATGTTTGGCAGGAGGAAAAAGGCCAAAGCAGCACTAAAGATGCAGAGTGAACTGGAGACGAAGAAGGGGTCCTGACCGGACCGGACCTTGTTGGGCGCGTTGTCTTGAATGATCGGGATCACATAAGTCCCAACAAACGCGCCTATCTTTCCAGCTGCAGCAGCGATGGCGTAGAACTGGCCCCGTACAGCGGTTGCGCTGCTCTTGGCACAGCACAGTCCAATGTTGTCGCCAGGGCCAAACTCACCAAGACTCGAGAAAATGCTAGGTTTGTAAGTTAGCAGATGGGATATTATCATGATACAATCCAGAGCCTACCCGAAAACCACGACGAATGCTGCGACATTCTTAGGCGTTGAGAGATACTCATAGCAGCCAGACATGATAAACCCAACAATGCCTTGCAGCAAGACACCGAGGGCTAGGGTATTGCGGGGCCCCAGCCAATCACTCGACAATGCTCCTAGAAAAGATCCGGGGATGTAGAAGGTATATGTCAGTGTTGTCCAACCGAAGCTCTGCCAGAGAGGAGCACTGTCTCCCAGGATAATAGCGATCCAGTCAGACGAGTAGATGCTGAAAGAATAAGAAGAAAAATCATAGAGGAACCAGATCAATGAGCATATAAACTGTTTACGGTCAGTAATACTCTGCGCATTGGCTAGGAAGAGTCACACAAACCAGACGCTTCCAATAGAACCTGTGAATGTGCGATTAGTCATGAACGCTGTAACTGATAATTGCCAGGCAGCTTACTTGATAATCAGCCAAAGAGGGAACTTGTGCATGCGCTCCCGGTTGAACTCCTCGGGCTCCTCCAACTTCAACCGGAGATAGATCAGACTAAGAGGTGGGATGACACCGAGTCCCAAACCAATACGCCAGACCGCACGCAAATGGTTTTCGGTGAAAATCAAGACCAATATCATTGAAACCAGGGCGGAGACAACATAGGCAAAATCGATTTGGAAATTGGTGAACATTACGAACCATCGGTTGCGATGGCCTTGCTTGAGTTCACCAGTGTTCTCCGCGGCTGCGACAGATCCTGCAGGGTACTCGCCGCCAATTCCAATTCCCAGGAAGAAACGGTATGCAGTAAGGGCAGCAAATAGACCATAATGGCTGTTATGGTACCCATAGGCACCAGCACACAGAGCGGCAAAGAGGAACAATATTATCGTAGAGATCATTAAAGACCATTTTCTCGACCAGTGATCACTTGTGTATCCAAAGATAAGCATGCCGACCACAGTACCGGCGAAAGTAATAGAGGATACATTTTGACTGGCAGGGGAGTTGGAGTATTCATCAGGGTAGAGTCTCTTCAAGATGGTATTTACAGGTCCAATGATCTGTAGACGAGCCAGATTAGCGAGACCACCAAATGCCACAAAAGTAATCCATGTCAAGTGAACGAACCCCGTTGAGGTAGCCATCAGAAAATAGACCAGCGCCGCAAGCAATCGTGGGCCAACTGCGCTCCCAACGGCTCTTGCCAACCGCAGTTTCCTCCAGAGGAACCGCATCAAGAGAAGCGGGGGCCTTTTCTGGAGGAACATCGACCTTGGACTCAACGTCCGGTTTTGGCTCCATGCTGACTGCTTTTGCAGGTCAGTTTAGCTTCGCAGCCTTGGATTGTCGCAAACGAAGAGAAATTGGTTCACAGTGTGTATACACAGGGCAATTGTCTTTGAGAGATCAAAGGTACTTCTGCCAAGATGAGGGACTCGGAAGACAACGAAGGAGGAACAATTAAAGGGCGATTGCGCCTATATAACAGAGGGGGGTGAGAGTAAAAGATCAGTGAAAAGGAGAGGGGAAGAAACAGGATTCTCGAGGTATAAGTACAAGGGAAAAAGGAACTGAAAAAAACTTTCGGTGGGCAAGAGGACCAGCGAGAGAACAGCGTCAAGGCACATGATGGATTTCCTCTTTGATCCTTGGTCTTCCATTTC